GCCTCCAATTCCTCACAATCTGTCAACAACACCTCCAGTCTTCCCTTCGTCAGCCAGCCCATACGCCAAACACCTCTGTCCGACCCTGCCTCACGCAAACCAGAAGCCTTTCGCCATCTCTACTTCACACAAATCCCAATCGATAGTCGTTCCTCCTGTTCGCAAGCTGGGATCCATCCGACAATCATCATTGTGAAGGTTTATCTGCTCAATAGACTTCAGCCATTAGAAGATCGGCTCAGACTCTTTCACCCATACCTTCAACCGAGCAAACATCAGACTTCCTTCTGGAGCCGAAATCTTTCACACCTCTGTTTCTACCTCACGACCATGACCCAAACAAAAACTACAGCTCACGCCTTCACCCGTCCCTTTCCTTTTAAGCTTTGCTTCACAAAGTTGCTTACCGAGCCTCCTATTCATACCCAGCCGAAATCCTTTGCACGTGAAATTCTGTCAGAAATTCCTGCTTGTCATTTTTTTCTCATTCACGTGAACCAAAAAAATATTCAACAAGCCATTTCCTATAATCAAATATTGCTCAGCCCACTCCAAATCCTCCCAGACAGCACGCTCAAAATATCCAGCAGCTCATTTCCTAAATTTCAGCCCACTCTAACCCTTTCCAGCCCACTAAGCCTCAATCAACCTCTCAAACAGCCCAAAACTTCAGCCCACAATCGTAAGTGGCTCACTTCAGAACTCCACTCCTCCATTAGACCAGCCCAAATCCCACACATCTTTCTATACTTTTGAGTAAGTTCTTTGCTTCATCTCATTCAGCTATTTTTGTCATTAGTTTGAGTGCACTGATTACTTATTGTGGCTAATTTTCCCACTATCCATAATAGTTAATGCCACCAATTATTATGATTGTTGTCGATTTTATATGTATATATGCGTGCGTGTTCACTTATTTAAATATATGCATATAATTTAAAAAAATAGAAAAAAAAAGAGATTTTAAAAAAAATGAAAAGAAAAAAAACGAAAGGGAAAATGAAAAGAGAATATATATATATATATATATATA